CTTTATAAAAATTATAGCTAGCCTCAGTTCTTGATCCGAATTAGCTAATTTAACCATGACTTAAATCGTTAAATATTGTAGAGATGAAAAATTTTAAGTAATTATTATTAAATTCAAAAATACAGGCAAATTAAACATTTTTACATATTAATGTATTAATTAAATCAGTATTTTTACAGTTTTTTATACTTTAATTATCCTTTCAAATACATTGACTTTAAACAATCATGTATTTTCTGGATCATATAATTTAAATTTGATTAAATGCTAATTTTAGATTATTTTTAGTTCTCAAAATGTAGATAAATTTTTAAATAGTTTAAAGCATGATATGGAGTTGATTTAGAATAATATTAAAATATTAAAATCAAGTCATGAATTTAATATGATCTTTATAGCTTTATAGAAATCATGGTTTTTATATAAAATTTGATAAAGTAGTAGTGATTAGAGTAACATTTACAATTAATCTTAGAATTTTACAAAGTTTTTAACTATCATAATTTGATTTGATCAATAATGTAGAAAGTCAACTGGATTATAATAGAATGTTTTAGATTGAAGTGTTATTGTGATTTGCATTATAAATTAATTATATTTAAGTATAAAGATAAATTATTATTATTATTTTAATTTTTAAGATACAAATGGAATTCTTTAAGTGTAAATACTTAAATCATGAAGATGAAGAAATAATGGGATTTTGTTTGAATCAGAATTGTTAAAATGCAACATAATATTGTTATGAATGTTTAACTACGACTCATTCAGATCATTAAAATGATTGCATTCGATTTTTTAAAATGAACTAATATATAAATGAATTAATAAAAGTTTAAAATCAATAAAGTAAATAATACAAAGAAATATCTAAATAACTTTAGAATTATTTTGAATAGATATTTAAAATAATGGAACAAAATAATACAATATTAGATCAGATTAAACAACACCTATAAAACAAAGACTATTTGACTTTTAAGTCATAAATAAATATAATCAAAAGGTATTACTAAAAGGAAAAAGAAAATTAAATATGTATACATTAAATAATTATAATAGAAAAACAAATAATATAATTAAATAATATTCTTGAGACATTAAAAAATATGGTAATAGAGTTAACTAAAAATGGTGATTATATTAATTAAAATCAAATTAAAATTTAACAAATTATTGTTGAAAATGAAGATAAAAAGTAATAGAACATTAAAGAAGCTGAAAGATTATTAAATGAAGGTATGACGAATTGAATTATAAATTAGGAGTTGCATTATATAATTTGAATAAATATTAAGATGCCATTGAATGTTATGACAAAGCTATTTCCATTAATCCTAACGATGATATTACGTGGACTAATAAAGGTATAGTATAATTATTAAGCATTATTATTTAGGATTTGCATTAAATAATTTGAATAAATATAAAGATGCCATTGAAAGTTTTGACAAAGCTATTTCCATTAATCCTAAAGATGATATTACGTGGACTAATAAAGGTATAGTATAATTATTAAGCATTATTATTTAGGATTGGCCTTAAATAATTTGAATAAATATTAAGATGCCATTGAATGCTATGACGAAGCTATTTCCATTAATCCTAAGTATGATAAGGCGTGGAGTAATAAAGGTATATTATATTATAATTCAGGTTTTGCACTACATAAATTATAGAAATATACTGATGCAATTTCATGTTATGATTAAGCTCTTTCTATTAACATCAATCATCAAAGATTAAAACTAAAAGGTAAATCAAACTTTAATTGATATTTAGCTGATTCACTATTTGAATTAGGGAAGAAACCAGAAGCTAAACAATTTTATGAGGCTTCATTAGAACAAGGATCTAATGATAAGATTTATATTTAGAAATAACTATCAAAGTTATGAAGTAATATCATATTTAAAAATATATTCTAATAAGATCAAACATTTAATACTGCACCAGATTATTCACTTTTCATTTTCAACAATTTTATAAATTAAATTTAAATCATTTAAATAATATTAATTTCAGATACCGTCTTAAAATTTTTAGTTTAGATTATTAATTTTTTTTTCCTTAAATTAATTCAATGTAAATTTTGGATTTTTAAGATTTTTATTTTTACTTACTTAATCTATTAATCCTTTCTACTCTAGGATTAGGTTTCCTTATAATAAATTTTAATTTCATACTCCTCTATCATCTTAATTTTTCTCCTTGGAGTACTCATTAATAACAGATTCATCCTAAAAATCTTTCCAAAATTCTAAATTTTTGTTGCCCTTCACTTTAAATTTATGCCGTTTAAAGTATGAATTTTAGTTAGAATGTTAGTAAAACTAAAAAGGAAAATTTTTACTGTAAAAAAGTTTAATTAGTATCGAGCCCTAAGGAAAACTTGACAAACATGTTCTTGATTTTACTTCACAAAAAGAAATCAATTAGATAGGATGATTTATGGGAGGGAATAAAATCTGGCTAGTTGTCCAATAAATATAAAAAAAGCATTTAAAAAAGGAGTTTCAAATATAGATGCCAGAAATGGTAGATTGATACTGTATCATTTCTTTGAATTTATATCTTTTTGATATAGTTAAATATATTTACATTTAACTTAAAATCAAGCTTAGTGAAGCAATATTAATTGCTTGTGATTTTGAACCTTTATTTCTAAAAGAGAGGGAGATTTATAAATATTGAACTTAAGTAAATGATAGGAACACCTATTTCTTAAATACACTCAAAAAACTATAAGAACCTAGAAATTTAATTATTAAATAAGGTTTAATGCTTCTAAAACTGGAGCCTTTCAAAGGCTAGATGAATTAAAAAAAATTTAATCTATAATTAATAGATCTTAAATTAAAGTAAATAATATTAAAATTAATTAGATAAATTCAGTAATTAATATAAGAAAACTATTAATAAATTTCATCACCAATAATCAGAAACAGATTACATGAATTAATCTAAGAACTCCAAAACTCAGGCAGGTTTGCCTATATTTATAATCTGAGTATTCCTAAGCTAAAATAAAACATTATTCAAACCAACCAAATACTCTACAACAAAAAGAAATGTCCATCTCTTGAGATGGAATGAAAACTTATAATTAATAAGCCTATAGAGAAAGAACTGGCTAAAAGAGGCATAAAAAATAGTTTTAAGCATAGCTAAATATTAATGTAAACTTGAGAGTTATGGTAAATAATTAAAATAAATCAGAAAACTCTTGAAGATCTATTAATGTAGAACTTTTAACCTATGTTGTAATAAGCTAAATTCTTTGATGGAATTATGAAAAATAGAAGAATCATAATTACTGTTATAAACTTGTTTGATAAAATAACAAAATAAACTTTCTCTGGTAATTTTTTTAGTTTACACCGTAATTACATATGAAGGATAAAAAGGCTTTGCTATTGATTTGCTAAAAAATTAAAGAGAGTCTTCAGTTGGTTGATGGGGAATGGTTGTTTTGTCCTATACATATCTAATTCACTTTGAAAAAATAGTTGGATGTGCTAACTAAATTAATTCTTGTATCAAATTTGCATTTTTCTGCTAAAAGATAGAGTAAGATAGGAAAGTAGTTTATAAATGTTTAGAAAAGTGGGAAAGAGTAAATATTTATATAAAAAACTTTTCGAGGGCATTTAAGATGGTATTGTTTTGATTAAATTTTTTGATACCTGCTGTTTCTTTATAAATGAACCTGAAGTAAAGATAGATGGTGATGTATACTGTTTATAGTTTAAATCAAAATGAAAGGCATTTGAAAACTTGAATCTGGTTCTAATTAAGTCAAAACTAAGAATAGAAATGTTTATCATAAAAAGTTAATTAATTCAATACTATAACGAAAATTATAAATTATTTATCATTTTGACTTTCAAAAATTTAAGCTAGTGATTCTAAGGAATTAATTATCTTCATGCCTATTTATTGTAAATTAATGATATCTCAGACATTCAAAATTAAATAATATGGGATTTAAGTTTGAAGCATAGTGTTATTAAAAAGAATTTTGGTTGCATGTATTTAGGCTAATTAATTAAATATTCTATAAATAAATTTACCCTAACATCTACAGAAAATTTGGCTGGAAATTTTATTTTTATATAAATTATAAATGATTAAATAAATTATCATCTGATATTTTAAAGACCAAATATAAATAATTAGTAATTACATAATATTAACTCATACTCATAATAGATTTGATGTCACATAGGAATATTTTAGAGAGACTTACATAGATTTAATTAATTTTTTAATAGAGAAAAATCAGCCACAATTTTCTCAAAAACAATTCACAAGGCTTTTCTTGATTAAAGTTAATGAAATGTATCAATAAAAGCCTTTTTTAAAGTAAAATAATTATATTTTATAAATATGAACCTTATTACAAAATAGAAATGTCAGAATGTTGCAGATAGATTCTTTAATAAATTCTTTATGTTTTTGATTATATTTTGAATCATTCACTTTAGTGGTAAGTCGTTTATTATTTTTTCAATTAACAAATTATAAAATAATTTTCAAAATGTTCTTAATGCTAATTTTGTTATTTAGAATAGATTCATTAGGAAGGAAAATTCATAATAAAAGACCTTTTTTTAACTCTTGCATATATCACTTTGAATTACACCTTTAACACAATTCTAATTAAATTTTCTAAATTAATTAAACCAGGGATTTTATATCATTTAACTTATTCTTTAAGGTATGTTAGAAGTATTTTGAAATAGCTTTAAACAGGCAAATGATTAAGTAGTTTTGAAATTTGAATCTACCTTTCCTGTTTAATATCAAATTATAGAAGGGTTTTGTCATTCCTATAAAACCAATGTAAGGATAATAACTTTCACTCTGCCAAACTAATAATTAAAGTTTATAAAATTAAAAAAGCCTAATAAAAAACTAGATCTGTTTCAATCAGAATGGTGACAACATCATAAAAATCAAATAAAAGCTATACCTCATGTACAAGTCCAGAGCAACTCCTTATCATATGTTTTTTTTTTCAGGAGCAGCCAATAATAATAAATGTTCCCCTTGTTCAAGTAACTATAATTATGAAAAATTTAAAGGATATATAACTTATTGTAAATTTTTGATTTTTCAATATTAAAATGAGTTTTTTTATGAATTTGAAAGAAGCATTCCTAGTTTATTTTAAATTGTATAGAATAATGATTCTATATTATAATTCCAAATTTGTTAATTTTAAAATATGATCCACTCATCACAAAAATATATTAATACAAATCGTTATGTATATGGCATTTTTTAATATAATACTGGAATATCCAGACTTATAATTAAATAAGCCATCTAAAATATCTATTGATATGGGATTGGAATAATATAATATCGGGAGAGAAAGAAGATTGATGATTATAGGAATAAATGAATTAAATGATTCTAATAAATAGAATTTCTATCAATCCACAATAGTTTTATTTACAGCTATATATATGGGATCTAAGCATATGGTATTGAAATTTATTCTTAAAATAAATACTCTTACTTTTATTTTTATGATCTCTTTATTTTTTTGATATTCCCTAATGTTATTCTACTTTTCAGCTATTGGAACATTAACATAATATTATTAGTTATCTTAAGGTTTCAACAGTAGGATGGGGATTATTATCCCTAATGATACATACTTGAACTATAATGCAAATGTAATTATTTATTATAGGATATAATTGTAAACAATGTAAAACTAAATATTATGTGGGTAAGTATGATATAGTTAAATAGTTAATAGTAAATTTTCATATAAATTTAATACTTATGCTTTTTCTTACTATTAGAAATAAGTTGGAGATTATTTTTATAATTTGGAAAATGAAATACTTTATAATTAATATTAATTGGCAAATAAATGAGTAATTTTTCCATAAAAATTATACACGAATTCTAATTTTTTGAAATATCATCTTTTTTGTAAAATTTGTTCACGACCATTTTTATGTCTAGAATTTTAGAATGTTATAAATATTGAGAAAGCTGGTTCTACAGGCAAATTTTGTATAAATATATTTTATTATTCCCTTATAAAATAATACACACAAAGATTCTAATAGATGTCCTGTGCATTTTTGGTTCATTATAAAATTTCAATAATTGGGAAATTGGCTTGTGATTCTATTGAGAGAATTGAAATCTGAGTACGAAAAAGGATATTATGAAGACAATAATAACTGTTATAGTTAATATAGTAGTGTTAATTTTAGATTCTCTTTCTGTTAATGCTATGATCAATTATATAACAATTATAAAAATATGGCATATTATTATTAGTAGTTTTGTGATTCTAGTTAATTATTAATATAAAGGAATTGCTAACCTAAATGGGGACTTAGATATAACTATATAAAGAATGTGAAGATGGTAATAATACTTTAAATGATTTATGCAACACTTGCCAATTTCAAAGTCCAAACAATTTTAGATTTAAAATTACAAACTACTTTACTTGTCCAAATGCTTGTGTAAATGTAACATTTTCAGTTGTTGAAGAATATGAAGATTTAATGATGAACAATATGATTCGTGTTACAATTTTAAATACTAATTTGAGTCTGTTTTTACTAAATGCATATTATCAGAAAGTGTTTTGAATGCTAAACTCTTGGATTACTTAATGAAACTGATGAAATAATTGATATCTGGACATTTAAAGAATAATAGGGATATATAATATTTTTGAATAATCATAAATTAATTTTTATTAAAGTTTAAATAGTATATTACATTTATGTATAAATTTATGCAATTCTGAAAGCATAGCATTTATATTGAAAATTTAAAAATTATAAACAACAATTTAAAGACTTAATAATGATATCATTGTAGATATTTTTTTAGATGGTTGTTCATCTTTTAAATATTCTCTTCTCTATAAACGAATGCAAAAAAGATCAAATTAGAAATATATTCACTATATTTGTCTTATTCTAGATAATTAGTTAATTTTTGAATAATTTGTATGGAATTCCTGTAAAAAAATGTTAGATAATAATTTAAGATTAGGAGGCAACTAATAAATATTTACAACAGCATATGATTAATAAAAATAATTTATATAAATGGCTTTATAGATAAGAATATTGTTTATAATTTATAAAATAATAATCGTCTTATTCTAAATATTTCTAAAATAAGAATTAATTAATTTAGCAATTTTATGATAAAATTCTAGAAATAATCATTCTGTTAATACTAGATTATACTTATTTATTAAATAATAAACTTTTTATTTGATAATTATTTCAATTTTTTGGTTTACCTTCTTAACTTTTGAATTACTTATGTGTGTCTATTATTATAAATTATTCAAGATGATTAATTTTATTATTAATTTCTTATTTTGATAGTTTTTCTTACTTTCTTTTATGTTTTTGTATTGCTTTATTTATACATTCTATTAAATCAATGATCAAATTGGAGATTAGCATAAGAGTAAATAGTCCAATATGAATCCATCCATAATATAATTACTAATTATAATTAAGTTAAAAGCTATAAATCAAAAATGATCCTGAAATAAGAATAAAAAAAAACTCTTTTGATATCAGTTTAGCTTCTTCATATTTAGATTTTAGAGGTCTAAATTTAACTAAGTATAATAGATAGAAAAATGAGGACATAGAGAGTAAAATTGATTATATTTCTGGATAATTAAGTGCTTCAACAATCATAAAAATATAAAACATTATTCTGTAAATTTAGAATGATTTTTAATTGAATGCCCAAAATTAAGGTTAAGAATCTTAATAAAAATATTTCCATTTTAGCCTATCTTTTATATTAGTCTATGTTATTGAAAGTAATTATAAACTAATATATACAATTAAAATTAAACAAAATATTGCATTGATGCTATTAAATGTTATAAATAGAGAATTAAAGCTATAATTTGGAAATTACAACAAGGCACTAAAAAATAATTGATGCAATATAGCAAAATAGACTTTAGGTAAACCAAAAGAGATATATTCTTTTATAAATTTAGCACAAAAGCTCTGTATTTTTTTTTGGTAAAATAAAATAAAACGAAGGTATAATTTGTTTTATATATTTTTCTGAAATAATTTTATTTGTACTGATAATATTTTTTAAGATGTTAATAGTCTACAAATTAAATATGTTAATAATGAAACTAAAATTGAGAAATAACAACCTTTAGCATTCAATAAGTAAAATTAATTTAAAGGATTTATTTGATTCTAATTTGAGCTCTTTGAATTTTGGAAAGGTAGCTTACCTCCATTTAAATATTTTAATAATTCATCAATCTTCAAATGATCTAAAATTGGTTTTAATGATATTTTAGAATATGTATTCAAGAATTAGATTAAATGAGGTGGGAAATTATATTACATATATCTAATATAGGATAAAGATTATAAAAGGTCTATTAAATTAAAAAACATGATAGCATTTCCAGTAAGGAATGCTAATCCAGATATACTAATCATTGAATACATAATTGCATCGTTGAGAAGTACAATTTATGTCAATTTCTGTTAATTTTATTATGAAAGTATAAAAGGATTTCCAAGTTTGATTTACATCTAATGTCTAATTAAATCTAAATCATATTCATTTTTGATAATTGATTAATCAAATTCTATCTATAGATAAGCATCTTCTATAGGTTCTATAAATTCAACGATAACTTAATATAGTGGGTATTCAAATTCAGTTGATAGACTTGTTACATTCAATATATTTATATTAATGCGAGTTTATGGAATAATTGAGATTAATGCAATTTCTTCAAAACTTAAATCAGTTGGTATTTTAACTTTTTAAGTGAAACTTAGTTCAATAATTTAAGTTTGATTTTATTAATTTGAGAGAAGATTCAATCTAAAATCTGGAGCTTGAATAAATGAACAAATACTAGGAGAATTTACAAAGTGTTTGCACTAATAGGAATCCTCTTGAATACAAAGAAAGGAGCATCCATCTCCTCCAAGTTGATTACCATCATCACATTATTCATATTATTCATTAAGTAAACCATTTCCACATTAATTAATACATTCATAACCTATTAATAATTAATTTTAATTGCATCTGATATCTTGGAGTAATAGTATTTATTCCAAATTATTATAATCATCATGATCTCCAAAATTATTTTTTTAATAGCAAATACCTGTTTTTTTAATTAATATGTGATTTGAATCTTTACAGGATGTGCAAAATTTACTGTCTTATACACAAGTCTAACATTAATCGGAACAAGGAATACATGCTTAATCATGATAATAGAATTCATCAAAACACTTAACACAATTTGTTGAATCAATACAATATTCACAATTTTAGATGCATTATGTACATTTTCCTTGATCATCAATGATATAATTATCAGAACATGTTTTACAAGTTTAAATATCAAGACATTCTAAACATGGAAAATGACATTTTAAACATTAATTATTTTATAGATAATATTAATCTATACATTCGGTACATTCATATTATGAGTTACATTTACTACAATTCTAATTATTATTCACAATGAAAATCAATATAATAATACCCATCTTCACATTTACATTATCCTTCAACAAGATTATATCCATCTTAACAAGATATGCAAAAATCTTAATTACAAGTTATACAAGGATGTTAACATTGTAAACAATTCTTTTAATTATCAGTATAATAACCTGGTTTACAATAACAATCATTTAATTATAATTAATGATTAGGGTCAGAACATGATAAACATTTATTAGATTATTCCGAACAAGTAGAACATTATGATGAACATTATAAACAATCAGTTCCAGCATCAAAATAACCTTACTTACATACACATTTGTTATTTTCAAGTTTGAATCTATTATTATCAATGCAAGAGAGACAAATGTTCACACTACTTGAGCAATCAAGACATGGATATTAACAGAGTGAACAATTGATATTATTAATTCCTGAAGAGCCAAATCCATATTTACATAAACATTTATTACTGATTAAATCATGATTTGGATCTAAACATTCAAGACAATGATCATTTTATAATTCGCATTTTGTGCATGGATATTAGCATTGTTAGCAAATATGATTGACATCAAAATATCCATCATTACATATACAAAAGTTATTGATTTGAGTTTAATGAATGTCAGTGCATGTTAAACAATGATCCTAATTGATTTCACATGTTTAACATGGTGTTACACATTATGAACAATTTAAGCCAACTTAATAATAACCTGGTTTACAAACGCAATTCTTAGAAGAATTTATTATTTAATTAGTATCAATACAAGTTAAACATCCATTGATATCACATAATTCACATGGTTATACACATGATGCACATGTATTAATAGTATTTGAATAGTAACCATCATTACAGATACATTGATTAGATGAATTGACAAAATGATTAGGATCTGTGCAACTATCACAATGAGTATCATTTGTTGAACAAGTCGTACAAGGATCTTAACAAGGTATACAATTATAGTTATAATCATTTGTAAAACCAGGGCTACAAATGCAATATCCATTAGATATATAATGTCTACTATCTTTACATTCAGTACAATAATTTGGACTTCCTTAACATTATAGACAAGGATCTTGACAAGCTACACAATTTACTCCATTCATCAAAAAACCAGGATTGCATTAACATTCATTTGATGCATCAACAGTCTAGTTAACATCTATGCATGTTAAACAATGATCTGCTGTTCCCGAACACGTATCACATGGTTGAGTACAAGACTGACAATCAGTAGGATTATTAGTTACTACTAGATATTTTTGAGCAGGACAAACACATATATTTGGAGTGGTAGTACTCATTTCAAATGTAGTTGCACACTCTAAACAATGATCGCCATCTGTTTAACACTTAAGACAAGGATGAATACAAGGTAGACAATTTAATGATTCATCCATGAAATATCCATCAGAACAACCACCATTACTGCATAAATTATTGATTGGTGTCATATTTGAATCAACGCATGAAGTACATTTTGTAGGAAGATCCACACAATTATAACATGGCGAGGTACATTATAAACAAGTATTTCCAGAAATATAATAATTTTATACACATGATATGCATAGCGATTCTGAAGTACAATTTTAACATGGTGCTACACAATTTTAACACATAAAAGAGGCATTCATAAAATAAGTTGGGTAACAATCACATGAAGATCCTGATTAATGAGTTGGATCTTTACATGATGTACATACTGATAATGAAGTACAATAAATGCATGGTTCTTAACAAGGTAAACAAGTAGTATTTTCATAATATCCATCATCACAAACACATTAGTTAGTTTATAGATTTCGATTTAGTCCAATTACACATGAACCACAATTAGTTGCAGATAATATACAAGTTGCACATGGGCTAGTACAATTTTAACATGTTTATGGTGTAACATTTACTTCATATTAACTAGTTAAGCATGAACATGTATGAGTATTCGAATCTATAGTATATGTCGCAGCACATGTTAAACAATAATCTACTGTTGTTTAGCATGTAGCGCATGGATGTTAACATTAATCGCATAAGTATGTTGAAGTATTCATTATGTACCCATCAACACAATTACATGAAGGAGTTGTTTAATTTTAAGTATCAACACAAGTACTACAATTGATTCCATTAATTGAACAATCTGCACAAGGTTTTGTACATTAATAGCAATCATTACTGCTTAAATAATTGCCTGAAGCACAAATTTCGCAATATGAGCTATTTCCCCTGTACTATAAACATATGGTCGGAACACAATTGGCTAAAATATTGTTAAAATTACTTAAATAGATTATTCTTTTGAATATTAAGAAAACAAAAATGCTATTATATCTCATTTCTTGTAGATATTGTTTAAGTTCTAATTTTAAGATTTATTATATTGACTATTAATCTAAATCTATGAGAAATATCTATAAAAATTTTATATATTATTTATGATTTATGATGTCATTATTAAATTTTGCAATAGGATAGATTGAGCAGATAATGAATTCATATATATATATCCTATTAAACTAGATTATTATTAATCAAATTTATAACATGAGTTTGAATTTAAAAACTATTGTCTATTATTATTTATTGATAATAAAGTTTGATAATCAAGAAACATTGACCTGAATAAATTTTGAACCTTATATATTTTATATTCAATAGATAATATTTTGGCAATAATTAATCATATTTATGGAATTAAAGGGGATTTTTTAACATATTAAAAATAGATTATAATAACAGCTAATAACTCTGATTTAATTTAATGATTATTTGAATGAAATTAGTTTTAAAATTGGGACTAATTAACAAAATATTA